AAAGAAAAATCATCATAAATCTTCAGAAAAGGGGAAAAATTTTTTAAGCAATTGTTGAAATTTGTTAATAGAAGACATTCATTGATTCAAAAAGTGTTCATAAACTACAAATCAACTAAAATTTTAACGTCCAAGCCAAGATTCGGCCGCCCGTCTGGAGTGTCTACTCAAGACTCTTACTTTGTAATATGCTCTATAAAACTAAATCCAAGACTATAAGCTTCACAAATAACTGAAAGTGTTGCTGATATGTTGCAAAAACGTGGGACTTTAATTACAATTCGAAGAAAACTGAAAAAGGATGACTATCATGCCCAAGTTGCACTCAAGAAGCCATTCATTCTTTGAATGAACAGAGCTAAGATAATGACTTCGTCAAAAAACACCTCTATAGGACGCAAATTTTTTAGAAAAATACAGTATATTCAATTGAAAGTAATTTTTTGTAATTTAGCATCAAAAAGCACAAAAATATGCCAACGAAAATTCCTTGACAGATCTTAAGAAAGAATATCATTTTTCGATTTATCAAACATGGAGGAGGATGCATAATGTTTGGGGGTGCATTGGAAGCCTATCGGCTGGTAATCTGGAATTAATTGAATCAACAATATACAAAATTTTGGTTACTTGAACTTATTGAAGTAAAATATCAGGGCGCATGCCAAGAAATTTGCGCAGAGTAATGATTTTTACTTTCAGAGGCACAAAGGTACCAAGCAAGTGGCTCACATTGTGAAGTCATTGTGAAGCCATGACTGTTCTGACCTGTCCCAACCAATTCCCAAATTCAACCTAGTCCCCAGAATTAAGCACAATACAGCATTTGTGGGATTTACTCGAATGAATAATCAGGGAGAACGTAATAACATCTAAGGAAATGCTCAAACTGTCAGAGTAGAGGAAAGAAACAATATATCCACAGATGAAACAACTAAGCAAGTTAAATCCTTGCCAAATATGTTAAGAGAGATAGAAAGAATGGGAATAGCTTAAAAAGTATTAACTTTTAATTACAATCCATTATTGTAAAGGTTTTTCCAGTGTACGCAGACTTTTGACGCACATGATTTGTGTCGTTCTCACGTTAAAAATATGTGTATTATTTTATGGAATATTCAGAGGATTGTTACTTATACTATTTAAATTTACGACGTTAGAGGAATAAATCAAAAATAGTATTGATTCAGAAAGACTTCATTTAATTAGCGATCTTTGCATGAATATAAAAGATGATCGCCTGTACGTAGACTTTAGGAGGCAAGTGTATGTTGTTCATATTTTCAATCGTTAATAAAATACTTTTTTCCCTCCAATCAAATTCAAATACATTTTTTTAAACTTGTAGTGGATGACACTTTATGTTAATACAGTTTTTTCAAATATTAATTCATCTACTAAATTTAATTATCTAAAATAAAAATTTTCTTTGGCCTAAGTAGGAATTGACTTTTAAAAAGAATTCATATTACTTGTTTAAAAATAAACTGAAGCAATATTCTTATTGTTGATTGCAGAATTCAAGTTGTTTTAACATTAATGTGTGAGCTGTTGCTTATATTTTCTAGTTTAATTCTTCTCGAAGAACTGCCGTGGAGTGGAAATTTGGAGGTTGGTACAGGCTTAGGTGTCGTCGTCGTCACTTTATCATAGGTCAAAATTATGAGATCCGTAGCTTATAGCCCTCGCATTGCTTTAACGTGCAATGTTAATAAGCATTCACTCCCAATAAGAAAAATTACTAAAAATATGCATGTACTAGCTTTTTGAGGCAAAAATATAAGCAACATGAGAAATTCTATTAGATGTTTGCAATATATAAAAAATAAAGTTCTAATTTTTCCATGGTAAGTTAGGTATATTTAAAAATGTACACCACACTCATTTATTTTTAAAATATGCCATTGGTTACAATAATTTCAGACTTATTCAAAAGGAAAAGACGTTGCATAGAGTGAATGAAACTCCAGTTTGAGGGCAAAAATATCATTCAGATTTAAAATACAAATTCAAGATACCACTAGATCAGTGATTCCCAAAGTGGTCTATATTGACCCCCAGGGGTCTATGAGGACCTGCAAAAAAGTAATTTAGGGGTCCATGAGTTACAAATGGGGGTCTACGATATTGGTTCTCATTAAACCAGTTTTTGACTTTAATTTTAAAAGGAAATTTAATCAAGTGGAAACCAAACATACCTGTTTAACAGATTTATTTACTAAATTTAAGAAGACTAATTTGCAGTTACAAGGCGATAGCATAAATTTTATTAAAACAATGACCACATTACAGCCTTTCTTGCCAGAATTAAGCTAAAAGAGTATAATTTTGGCCGCTTCAAATGTGTTCTCCAGTTTCTCAATTTTCACACACAATCTGCCAGGAAAAAGACTTTTAACCTACGTTCAACATTTAAGTGCCCTTTTTTTAGATTTTGAAACTAGCTTTAAGGATGTTTTGACTACCGTAATACCACAGTAGCCAATGAATTAATATGGTCCCTTTGAAAAAAAAAGATGTGTCCGATTACAAGAATTAGGCTCTAACGAAGATCTTAAAGTAAAGTTTAATTAAAAAGTTAATTAATTAACATGTGTTTTCTTAAGTTTTAAACACTATACTTCACTACAGTTAAAAATCTAAATCTTTTAAAATAAGTAGCTCTGTACCTGCTGTTAAAAACACATTTAAGTTGATGAATTTGCAAAAATTTAATATTTGGTAAGTAGGGGTCTACCCCAATCCGAAAAACCTGTCAAGGGGTCTATGAGGCAAAACAGTTTGGGAAAACCTCTGCACTAGATGCTACAAATTCAAAATTCTTCAAGGTGCTTCCCTTGCCTCCATTCTCGTCTCATCTCTTACCATTGAAATATGTGTGGGACGTATTTAAATGCCGTTTGCACTACCACGTTCAAAAGACTGTGGTAAATGGTTGACAAGAAATGGAGAGCCATTTCTCAGGACACCATCCGTACTCTCACTAAATCTGTACCTAGTAGTGTTGCTTCGTGTATCCCCACCCTAGGTGGTCCTACAACCGAGTGTTCGTACAGTGCAACATGTTATAGACCAGCTCCCTTTTCCAGAACCATTGATCCCTGTAGTCCGATTCAAACTGTTTTCTCGTCTTCCTGTTTTAACGTGCACTGTAATTACGTCAGTAGGTTATTATTTTTTTAATTTAATACTAAAAAGAAATTGTTAAGTGTATTTAGTACGTTTTTTCTTGTAAAGTGAGTGAGTGAATATTAACGTTGCCCTGTTTAACTACACGAGGGCTTTTGGCGACGAACCACATAATTTTGAACCATGGTCAAGTGATGTGGGTGACACCTGACATAAAAATTATTTTTTTAATTTTATATTTTTCTTTTCATATATGTGCAAGTGAACATCTTTTCCACACAGATGGGTTTTAAAATTCTCAAAAAAAGAGAAAAATTCGATTTACTTTACTGTACAGTTTTAATCCACCAAAAATATTTTGAATTTGTAAACGTACTCTTAAATTAATGCAATTTCTACCTTCTTTCTCAAATCTAAACATCTGCATTAATTTAAACTCAATAAAATCATTAACTCATTTAAACTCAAAACCAAAAAGAGATCAAAAAGTAAAGATAATTTTTGTAGAATTACATTTTTCTCCGGTTTTTAAAAATATTTTAAATTTATTCTTAGATATCTAAAAGCCACCAACAAATGATAAAAATAGACATGCAAATATCTTCAAAAGAAAAATTAGTGCCATAGAAGCTTTTATTATTATTATTATTATTTCCCTTTGTTCAACTCACTTTGTCACTCAAATTAGTACAATAATCTAAATTTGAGAAGGGAACTATAAATTCCATATGATTAAAAATACTCGCACAAGTACTGGTAAATAAAAACCTTTAGTGTAACAAGGAAAATCTAATCTAAAAACAACATTTTCTAAGAGCGCTAAATTTTGCAACAAGCCACTGCACGTTGTTTTCTTCAAAAACACTCCAAAATAAATATATTCAATCAGTAATTATTCATCTCTTCCGCAATGCGAAACTTCTTTACGTTCTGAAAAGCTTTTTAATCAACAACTGCATATTAAACAACAAAAAATTCCAGAGATGTCATTTTTCTTCATTACATGTAAATGATAACAGAGCTCACTACATGACACTTCATATTTATTTTGCACCCTCTTCACACCTACACTGCTTCCTCATTTTTATGAACGATTCCATAAGCTACCCACACATCCGCCAAACTGTCTTTTTGACGCGGAAGCAATTAAGCTCCCTCTACGCGATGACATTCCAACTTCCGACTTGAGTGATAATACGGAGAAGATCTTTCATGAAACTATTTGCACAAATTAAACGAGAAAAGTTCTGTTACAATCCCAATTACTCTCTCTGTGGTCCCTTTAACTCATTTATTCGTTTTAATATTTTGGTGAATCAGAATTCCTTCTGTTCTAATAAATATTAGGATATATTGACCTATAAATTGTGCGAAAAGCTCTTAAATAGCGGTTATATAGTTGGCACTTGACTTGCGTGACAGGTAAATTTGTAACTATGGTAACAAATTGCTTCAGTTGTAGTGAGTGCAATGATAAATAGCATAACTAGTTTTTAGTATTTAATTTGCAGTGATGTTAGTTTTGTGTGTTGTAACAAGATTTCTCAAAAGTAATCGAAAAACTTCGTTATAATTTTTAAAGTAAACAAGTAATATAAAAAAAAAAATTAAGTAAATTCCTACATAGGTCAACAAAGAAACATTTTATTTTAGTTACTTTTTATTAAACAGTTACAATTAATATAAATATGTTTATACATATGACATAATCACACTATTAAGTGACAAAATAGAAAGCGATTTTCCTTCAGTTTTCCATTTTCCTTCCTACATATGGCGTTGGGCTATTTTTTTTTTGTTACTATTTGTTCAAAAATTAAATTTATTATCTTAAGAAAATAGAAAAGAAATCACATTCTCAGAAATTATGCAATCCCAAGTGGGAATCGAACCCACGACCTTTGGATTAGAAGTTCAGCACGGTATCCATTGCGCTGCAGGGACACAACGAACGATTTTCCTTTCTATATATGCTGTTGAACTATTATTTTTGTTTGTTACTATTTATTTATTTTTTAATTTAGTTAATGAATTAATAATCGAAAAAACCTTTAAAATATATTTTAAAGGTTTTTTTAAAAGGATTATTTCTATTGTTTCATTACGAAATGAATTACTTGTTAATTAAAAAGTACATCGTCTATTATTTTGGATCAAAATACATTTTAGAGACATTTTTAAGCTAACTATATGTAACGATGGATTGATTCATGAAAATCTGAAATCTATTTTATTATTTTAGATTCTTAGAAACGATTATTAAAAAATGATGAACGTTTTTTGTTTTACTCTTAGCATCAGAATCCTTTTCTTTTTATTGCTTCACATTAATACTTTTTTTAATTCTCTAACGCAATATTTTTTTATAAATCATTCATCGAAATTTGAAGCTATATCTTATCTTTGAGAAGGAGAGGAAGATAGAGCAGTAATTTTACACTGAAAAATCCCGTGTTCGGGCTATAGAGAGGGGAAAGAAACCTGTCTTAAATCAAAAATAAGTGGAATGGAACAAAATTCGAAAAAGGGAAATTTTTTGACATAATTTTAGAAATCATTCAGGTTGTGCGCGTACAAACACACGCAGAAATGCAGGGGTCATGAGGAAAAGAGAAAGCTCGAGCAACGCCGGGCTAAGCGGTGGAGGGGGGGAGTCATTTTGAAAATGAGTATTAGAAGTTCTGATTTTGCGAAAGAAAGGGAAAATTTAAAAAGTAGAGATAGCCCGTGCAACGCCGGGCTAAGCTCTGGAGGGGGCGGGGAGTCATTTTGAAAATGAGTATTAGAAGTTCTGATTTTGTGAAAGAAAGAGAAAAATTATAACAGTCGAGATAGCCCGCGCAACGCCGGGCCATGCAGCTATTTCGAAAAAGGGAAATTTTTTGACACAATTTTAGAAATCACTCAGATTGTGCGCGTACAAACACACACACGCAGAAATGCAGGTGTCATGAGGAAAAGAGAAAACCCGAGCAACACCGGGCTAAGCGGTGGAGGGGGAGTCATTTTGAAAATGAGTATTAGAAGTTCTGATTTTGCGAAAGAAAGGGAAACTTTAAAAAGTAGAGATAGCCCGTGCAACGCCGGGCCATGCAGCTAGTCAATGTAATAGTTTTTGTGACGCTTTAAATCCAGTTGGAATACTGTTAATCTGAGCTGAGCTAAAATACAATTAGAACTTAATTCATTAGGTAATTCATTCAAGCAACGTTTTCTCTATTTGAATTCTCAGCGGTGGTTTCATTATAAATGAGTTTCTTCTTAACAAGAAAAAAATTAATGTTGTTTTGGAGATAAAATTTGATTGCTTCAAAAATCTCTCTTCAGTTTATGGTATCCATTACAAAAACTATAGTACAATGCGATTTTCTCTGTTTTGTAGTAAAATACTTACAAATCAGAATTTTTTTTTATTTTCAAGGTTATGTGGCACGATTTAAATACAAATGTTTGATTTCATACTTTTTCACGATTTTGTTATTGGTAATCAATGTATATGTAACATGTAAAACAGGATGTTTTTGCTCAAAACATCATAAAATGCGAACCATTGATTTTTTTTTTAAAGAAATGATCGAAATGTTTTGAAAAATATCGAATCATATGACACAACAGGAAAAAAAATGCATTAGCATTAAATTAAGAAAAATAAGTAATTTCTTTTTATTCTGAAATAAATCAGTTTAAAGTTTTTACTTATTATGAGAATGTTAATAAAAATCAAAAATTATCATAGTTCTGAATTTTTTTTTCACTTCAGAGTTCTCAAATTCAGTGATCTATTGGGAAAATATATAAAGAATAGTTTAAGCTTAAAAAAAATTGATTCGATTTTTTTATCGGTTATTGTCAGTTGAATTGAGTATTCATCCGTAATTCACAAAGCATTACAAAATCCCTTTGCCTCGATAACTCACCAAAAAAAACCCTTTAAATTCATTATATAGTATTTGTTTTTCGTCTATTTTTAATTGGTTTTCTCTTTTTTTCTTTTTCAATTCTTACTATTAGTTCACTCTCTCTGTTTAAATACACTCAGGAACATTGAAAATAGCGACCCAAGAAGAAAGCATCGGATTGAAATCAAATTTAATACACATAATGACACAGATGAGAGATTCACTTGATCTAAAAAACAAGACAATTAAACGAATACAGGGAGTGCAACGACACAAATACTGGGCAACTTCAATAGCGCGTTGGACCACCTCCAGCTACAATACATGCCGCCACACGGTCCGGCATTGAGTTGATTAGACACCTTATGTTGTCCTGAGGCAGATGGGCCCACAAATCTTGAACAGCCAACTCTAAATCATGTACAAAGTGACACGATGGCATCTGCCGTTTTAGCTGATCCCACACGTGCTCTACAGGGGACAAATCGGGGGAGCGGGCCGGCCATGGAAGAGTCTGAAAATGACGTAGGAAGTCCTGAGCAACTCTTGCTGTATATGGACGAGCATTATCTTGCTGGAAAATTGTCCCTGGGAGACCATTTAGGAAAGGTCCTACATGGGGTCGAAGAATATCATCAACGTAACGTTGGCCCGTTAAGGTTTCACGCATCACAATTAAAGTGGACCGGCTATCATACGCTATGGACCCCCAGACAATTACACCAGCTGTGCGGGCAGTGTGACGTAGAACAGTGTGGGGGTAATTGTACCGCTCACCAGGGCGCCTCCACACCCGTACACGGTTATCATCTGTACCCAAAACAAACCGGATTCATCACTAAACACAACCTTTTGCCAATCTGTGACATTCCACATTGAACTGGCTTGGCACCACTGTAGACGCAGTTGCCGATGTTCCGGTGTTAAAGGGAGTGCACGGAAAGGGCGCTTGGATTTAAGATTTGCTTCTGCAAGGTGTCTGGAAATTGTTTGTGGAACAATTGCTACGCCTACGTCTGCTCGTATCGTTGAACGAGTCACTGTGGGGTCCACAAGTGTTTGCCGCACGATGCTTCGATCCTCCCTCCTCGTGGTCTTCCTGGTCGCTCCAGACCCGGTTTTCCGCGCATGGGTACCTACTCGTGTCCACTGCTCCCAACAATTTCTAACGGCACACTCCAAATGATCCACTTGGCCAGCAACACGGCGCGTCGACCAGCCTGCAGTTTTCATCCTGATGATCAGGCCTCTCTCGAACTCGCTTAACTGTGAGAAATGTCTTCTAGCACGTTTATCTGGCATGTTTCGCTTACCAAAGTCTTCCTACAATCGGCGGGTAATCGTCCCGTTTATGAATCTTTGAATTTGCGCTGGCTTATAGCACCCAATATAGCACCCTCTTTCTCATTGTAGCGCCACCTCGTTCGTGTATGAGCATGCGTATTGGCACAAAACTTGGATCATTTGCATATCACATTACGCTATACTTATTTGCAACGTTTCGCGATTGTACTTAGCTTCCTTCTTGGGTCGCTATTTTCAATGTTCCTGAGTGTATATAAAGGGTGTTTTTCTTAGAGGTATAGAACTTTAAATTACAATAAAACAACGATGTATTATTCGATTGACATGATTTTTTTATTCGAAAGATAATCTTGTGGCATTACATTTTAAATATGATTTCTGGCATAGGACTGTCACGGCTGGCTCGGATGTAGTCCAATCTGGACGTCCAATTTTCGATGACTTTTTCCAACATTTGTGGCCGTATATCGGCAATAACACGGCGAATGTTGTCTTCCAAATAGTCAAGCGTTTGTGGCTTATCCGCATAGACCAATGACTTTACATAGCCCCACAGAAAATAGTCTAGCAGTGTTAAATCACAAGATCTTGGAGGCCAATTCACAGGTCCAAAACGTGAAATTAGGATGTCACCAAACGTGTCTTTCAATAAATCGATTGTGGCACGAGCTGTGTGCCATGTTGCGCCGTCTTGTTGGAACCACAGCTCCTGGACATCATGATTGTTCAATTCAGGAATGAAAAAGTTAGTAATCATGGCTCTATACCGATCACCATTGACTGTAACGTTGTGGCCTTCATCGTTTTTGAAGAAGGATTCCACCAGCCCATAAAGCGCACCAAACAGTCAATTTTTCTGGATGTAACGGTGTTTCGACATACACTTGTGGATTAGCTTCACTCCAAATGCGGCAGTTTTGTTTGTTGACGTAGCCATTCAACCAGAAGTGCGCTTCATCGCTAAACAAAATTCGCTTATGAAAATCGGGAACAACGGCAATCTCGTTTTGGGCCCATTCGACGAATCAACGCCTTGCTTGATCATATTTAAAATGTAATGCCACAAGATTATCTTTCGAATAAAAAAAAATTCATGTCAATCGAATAAAACATCGTTGTTTTATTGCAATTTAAAGTTCTATACCTCTAAAAAAAACACCCTTTATATCTTGTTCAAACTTTTAATCGTTAATAAAATACTTTCTATTCATACATTCAAGTTCAAATAATTTTTTAAACTTGTAGTGGATGACACTTCATGTTAATACAGTTTTATCAAATATTAATTCATTAATCAAATTTTATTTTTTAATTTTAAATTTATTCTACATTATTTCTGTTGGAGTTATATACAATCAGCTGCAACAGATGGCACCCGTACATTTTTCTAACAAAGTAGGAATTGACTTTAAAAAAAATTCATGACTTGTGTTGTTATTGTTGTTGCTTATCTCCTTGTCTAGCTTCTACTAGACGAGATCTATGAGTTTACTACTGAGACATAGTAAGTCGTAGTAGGACAAACCCAGGTATCTAAGAATATGAGTCGGGGAAGCCTGCTGGATGTTACATTTTGAAGTCCACGTCTATTTCCCACGGAAGTTCACGTCTCCGTTCTCCGTCTATATGACTTATTATTGGTTTTAACAGAAACAAGTTTTTTTTCTTTTATTAAGTAAATACTCAGAATTCTTATTATAGTATTACTAAATTTATTTTAAAACATATACTAAGTTACAA